AATAATATATAATAATAATAATAATAATAATAATAATAATAATAATAATAATAATAATAATAATAATAATAATAATAAAATGGAAATTTGATTACCTGTGGCTCATTAATCCATTTCATAGGCTTGCTGTCAAGATGTACCGCCTGTGTCTGGACAGTGTCGTGCCACCAATCACTGAGTAACATGTTGAACTCCCCATCGTATTTGATCTTTTCTTCCTCTCCTTGTGCCACGTCAACTACCAGCATGCCGTACAACCCGGCCGTCCTTTGCATCCCGTAGTGTCCATGGTAAAAGTATGTACCCGGCTACACCATATAACTAATTAACGTAAGGATGATACCCGACGGGATGATACCGTAACCATAACGTAGCACTTCTCCAATATGTATTAATTACGAACTAATTCATTAGTAACCTATTTATTTTGTGCTCTCCTGACGTAATAATTTCGATTGAAATTCCATTAACTTGTACAGTAATAGGTAGCTATATAAAGCGGGGAGATTCTACGGTCCGTTACGGAACCATTCTGTTAGAATTTGTAGCCATTAGATCAACTATTCATGACGATTATATGATGATCTAAAGGTTACAAATTCCGATGGAATGCTTCCATAACGAGACTGTAGCATTTTCCTGTAAAGCTAACCTTGTCAGCTAGAAACTCGTAAACAAAACTTTCTCCCGGCATAATAGGACACTGTGAGATAGACGCCGCCCCATCTGCCCACGGCGTTCCTAACTGAGAATTTTTTTTTTTTTAAAAAAAAATATATTCAAGTACAAGATAAAAATATGTTTATATATATATAAATATATATATAAAGGACTAATAACCTGTCTGATCCCATGCCAATGAATGACAACCCCTTCGGTCTCGGTGGAAAGCCCGTTGGTGAGATTAACTCGAACGGTTTCTCCAGCCCGAACTCGTATTTCCGGGCCTGGAAACTGGCCATTGATGGCCATGACAATACCTTCGACCCCGTCTGGATTGCCTTCAATATATTCCACCGTCCAACTGAAGTCCTTACACTCCACCACCATCATCGCGACGAAAATGAAACACGAAACTATAAGAAACCTCAGCAGAAGCCGAGGGTCGTCGGTCAACGATCCCATGGTTGACTCGGATTGATCTCCCTGTACGAGAGAGAGAGAGAGAGAGAGAGAGAGAGAGAGAGAGAGAGAGAGAGAGAGAGAGAGAGAGAGAGAGAGAGAGAGAGGTGGGGGTTGGACGGGATTGAGATGATGAGGCTGTGTACATGTATGCCTTTATAGAATTCAGAAAATTCAATAGTCGTAGTTCATGAATTGTTAATGGAAACCTTAAAATTCCTAATACACATTGACAATCAGCACCAACGTGATCAATAGTCACAGACTCACAGGGAATCGGCCCCTAGAAATTTCATGTTTAATTTATTAAAAAAAAGGGTAAAGTTAGTTGTTAGCGAAAATATAATTTTATATTAAGATAATATTTAATGAAATAATTAAAATTGATTTGACGTAAAAGTAGGAGAAAAATAAGGTGAAGTGGTGGTTAGTTAAACTCCAAAATTATATGAATAGATGAATAATAAATTAAGGATGATGTGATGTGTAAGATGACTGGTTGATATTATTTAATTACACTGAACATTGAAGATAATGAATTTGAATTAAATTGAGTTAGATTTTGAACATGGATTGAATATAGATTGAGTTTTTTAATATACAAACACATTGAGTTTTTTAATTTACAAACACACCGTGAATAATTTATTATATAACATATATTAATGGGATGGATTTTTTTCCCATTATTTTTCGATTGCGATAATTTTTCTGTGTCTTGGTTTTATAATCGAATAACAAATACGAAGATGAAATATAGTCACTTTTTGTGAAAGTCTGAAATAATAGTCATTTTTCCTTGTGTAATGACAAAATTACTATACTACGAGAAACCGTTTCTACAAATTTTGCATTCCAAAAATGGTTTCTAAAACACATAAACAATGTCTAGATTAGTTAGTTATTCTTAGAACAATTTTAAATAAATGGTTTCTAACTACTCGAGCGCATTACTGGTTTGCAATCTTTAAATGTAGTCTCAAATCTTTTCACTATGATTTTATTTTTGGATCGATAGAGATTTTATATAAAGACAAAAATATGCAAAGTACAACCACCAGCTCAAAATACCCACCCACCATCTGAATAAATTGGGAGGACATGTCGAAAGACCGCCTAAAACTGGCACTAACAGGGTAATACTCTAGCAACACAAAGACACAACACTAATAAAACGATACCAATAGAGTAATGCGAGTGTGTGGTCCCAACTGGATAATAAGTTCACACTTGGACTAACCGAGGCCAAAGGCCTAAACCTAAAACACAAAAACTAACACAAGCACCAACACGTACGACAAAAACAAGAACAAACAAATGAAAAAAAGGAGAAACAAAAACAACTACACACTAACAACACAACCTCCCTTAGCAGATACATCCGAAAAGGACAACAGACAATGTCGATTCTGAGGAGAGCTCCGAAGCTCCGATACCGCGCCCACCACTGCATAAAGCCTAGCCAGATGATGACCCAAGCCTAAAAAACAATCAAGAAACTGATATGCACTCCAGCCGCAAGAAGCCACAATCTGCCTCCAACCTGCTAACACCACTAGTCGATCCGACACCGTCCCGAATCAGCCTATCACCACTAGGGTTTTGGGTTCTGCAATCTGTTAATATATCTTTTTATTTTAATTATCGGGTCATCCAATCATCACTTGTCACTTCTCTAGTCATTGTTAAGGGTGGTGTCAACTACATATCTCTGTCCAATTTAAATACACCAGTCAACCATCGCTCTTCAAGTGTTGCAGGAGTGGTTTCAAGTAGCAAAGAAAGAAACAAAACTTCTTGAGCATTACATGTTCGCATTCACCTATGAATTTGTGCAAAATTTATGTAATTGATGTGGTTTGTTGTTGGTGAACATAGTTGAATGTTACTTGTTTGCAAAATGGATGTTTAATGATTGTACGTAGAATATGTTACGGATATTTATTGTTTGCAGTTGGGATGTTTCATGATTGATAGTAGTGAATGTTTTAAATGGTTGCAAAGTTGGATGTTTAGTGGTTAGCTACTGAGAAGAGTAATATTTTGGCCATTTATACTAACATTTCACCTGTGTTACCTAGTTAGTCGTTGTTAAATAACATGGTAAGTTGTAGTTGATCCAAGGAAAGAAGATTGAAAGGATATCATTTCATTGCATTATCAAACATGGCGGCTGAAGCTTAAAAAAACAGAATGAATAAAAACCTAGCATCTACCAAATATTTATACTAAGGTGAGAACCCTCTAGAATAAGGACACTTGTCATGATCATATTACAAATAAGATACTAATCCAACGGTCTAGCTTGAGGGAGCTATGCAGCTGTCACTTGTACTCGATTTATCTAAGTCATGCAAGAAGACAAGGTTGCTATCACATGCAGAGCTCGTGTTCACTTCATTCAGTAAATATTTATCACTTTTGTGTTGTAGAATTCTTTTGTTACTGCATGAAGGTGTTGTATCTTCTAATATCCCCCAAATTCAAGCCAGGTTAAGTCACAACATTTAACTTCCCTCTCAACTTGGTGAAGGATTGTTCATTTAGAGCCTTTGTCAAAACTGAAAACATCAACTATTTGAAATTGAGTAGGAATATGCCTTACTTCAAGGTCCTTAGCTGTAACTTTTTCGCTCACAAAATGATAATCTAGCACCACATGTTTAGTTCTCGCATATAACACTGGATTAGAGGCCATAGCAATTGCATTGAGGTTGTCTATCCAAATAACTGGTCCCTCTTTTCCTGAAACATTAAGTTCATTGAACAAACTCTTCATCCAAACAATCTCTGAGGTGACATGAGCAAGACTCTTGTATTCAGCCTCTGCACTTGATCTTGAAACTGAACTTTGCTTTCTAGAACTCCAAGATACAAGGCTTCCACCAACATATACACAAAATCCACTAGTTGATCTTATCGGGCCCACAAATCTAAGTCTGGACTTAGATTGGGCATCGAGCCCACACATCCAAGTCATAACTAGAGTTCTTGACCAAGACGAGATCACTCATTCGACTCGATATATCAATCTACTTACAAAATTACCTCAGACAGTATAAGCAATTAAAAGCAATGAGATATACAGACCATAGTACAGGGATCCCCACCTGAAGTTGGCGAATGCAAAAGCTAAAATATCTGGTAGTAAGTGAAGGCTCGACTCTCCTCTGGCTACAAAAATATTAAGCAAAATATTCTAAGTACTAGGCTCAGAATAAAAACACTAATTTTGTTAAATGATCTGTCTAGGTTCGCTCACTCGGTTTTAATAACAATTTAAGATACGAGTTGATTTTGAAAATTTATTGTCTTTAAGGCATACTAGAGTTCTCTGAAATATTTCTAAGTCCGGATTTATAATTCGACTTAATCTTAAATCTGACCAGATTTTAAATATGACTAGATCTTAAACCTATCTGATTCTTAAATCTGACTGAAATTTCTCGAACCGTCCAGACTGCCCGGACCGGCTCGACTGGACTAAACCGGTAGCTCACTCAGAACCGACTGGTTATTTGCTGACAATGTGCATCTCGGCTTAACCGTGGTCCGGGTTCGTCGTGGCAACTCGAGGCAGGCACGAACTCGGCTGACACGACTTAGCCGTTACACGGGTTTGAAACGATGCCATGATCACTGACTCAGGGGCGTGCTTGGACCACGGCTAACAAAAAATATCGCGTTGACGGTACATCGGATAGACTCGGTGCACGACACGCACTCGGTGGTTTGACTCGAACTCGATGCACGTGCACGCACTCGGTGGTTCATCTCCAACGGTGGACGAGAGTCGAACACGTGTGCGGACGAAGATACGCGTTAAGGATTGATTCTATGACGTCTAAAGTTATTTAAACGGTACGTAGGGCTCGAGCAATTAAACTCGAATCCAAAATTTACCCGATTATCAGAACTGGATAAAATTAGGGTTTTTGATTCTTGAAAAACTTAACTCATTTTAATCTGCTAATTAAACACTTATTATGTTATTTATATGAAATTTATAGTCAACCACTGCAGCTAAATCGCTACCGGACTAATTTTCTATATTTATCGCGAAATGAGGCTAACGTCTCGGTTTTTAATCTATATCATATTGTGTCCAAAAATTACCAAATTTTTAATAAAACATCCTCATCATACACATGATTTATGGTCGAAATATCGCATCTAAATTCAACCTACAACACAACCAACTAAATCGAGCATTAACTGATCAAACACACAAAAATCGATTCGCCTATCAAACGAACCCCAAGATTTTCCCAATTCGCATCTAAGCCTAAAGCATTTAATATGATTTATAATATTAAAATCACGATTTTATCACTTGCCGATAAGAGATCAAAAATCAACGCTTCAAGCTCGTAAAAATCCAAGAAAATCAAATATCACTCAAATCACCAAATTATCATTCTTATAATTTATCATTAATCACATCTAAGCCATTGGAGTTGGGTTCAAGACATTTTACCTTAAATCGGCTCGAAATGAAAATTGAAGAGAGATCGGGCTAGTGAAAATTAAATCGGCTTTTGGATCCGGGTCGGGGCAGGCTGGTTGATCTCGAATATGTGATGGTTGGGTTGGATATGGTCGGTCTGAGGTTGACCATTCATTTTTGGTGTTAGCTCGGCGGATCGGGGTGGCTCGGGCGCGGAGTGGACGAGGGCTGATTGCCGGTGTGCGGACGCTCGTGCGCAGGGACGTGCGGATCTGCACGGGCGCTAGTGCAACAGGAATGGAAGCAGCGTATGGACGTGGGGTCGTAACTTGGGAGCTTCATTGAGTGCATGCATGAACGAGAATGTACGAGTGCGCATGTCGCTGTATATGGACGCGGATGGTCGGGCCATGGTGCACTGGACGAGAGCTGAACGGGTCGTACAGATTGAACCTAGCCTGGGCGTGAACGGCCAGGATGTGGTGCGGGTGCGAGGTGGACGACGTGGGCTCGGGATGGGACGGCGAGCCTGAGCTCGGCGACAGTGATTTTGCAG